AAGTTAATGTTTAAATCACCAGAATATTACTTGATATAATCGAATTTGGGTTACAAGTATGCATAAGACCAATATTTCATAGAAGACAAAGTTATAAAATATACCATTTAATTAATGAGAAATAAAAAAGAGGTATTCTTCCGTCTTTTATTAGTTTAGTTTTATTTAATGTGAGAGCAGCAGAAGAAGAGATTTGATTATGAACAATGCAGTTAGTTAGGAAGGGGAGAATCACATCTCTTCGCATTGATGAACAAATTTATTCACTATTCTCCAATTTCTCTATTACTAGAAAATATTTCAGTTTGTCACCGTAAACGTGCATGTGTTTTAAGACTATTAATCTCATTGATAATACATCATCAGCTTCATGAGCTTATCTCTTGTATTTAGGGAAAAACATCTTTAAATGTCTATTGCGAGCTCCGGGCAGGACGAAAATAATGTACAACAGCAACAGATGAGCGTTTTTTCAAAACTTGGTTTTGCTACAGTTGATCGTCCTCTCCAAAAATCTCAAATCCGATCGATTACAAATTGCCAAACCACGTGTTCAGTTGAATCGCGATCAGTGTTCGCATAAACAAAAATATATTCTCAGCACAAATATTTTGTTGAAATTATCCTTACCTTAAAAGAGCGACAACTTGGTCTTGGACTAAGCTAAAGCACATAGCCACTAAAGCCATTCCAGTTAGTATATAAGCTGAACAGGCGCATAAAGATATTTCTTCAGTGTTTTGTCCTGGTAGTAAATCGCCAAATCCTATTGTGCCAAGACTGGTAAAACAGAAGTAACTTCCTAAAAAAAAATGGAAACGACCAGATTAGCTGCAATTTAGCTGCCATTTATGAATGAGTTAAACCTTCGTATGCTCGACAAATACATGTGTGGAATAGGTATAACAAATCTACAACTTACACTTGTCGCAAATATATTAGATACCAATTGAATCCATTTTTTCATCATCACTGATTTTTTCAAACATATTTTTCGAATATATCATTTCAAAGCCAAACAATCCCTGTCTAGCTAATAAAAGGACTGACTGGAAGAGTTTCAGAATAACATTGGAAGAACTAGTTAATTTGGCAGTCCCGGTGCGTACTCCAGAACCGTTAGACTTCGAGGTGGAAAAACTAATAGCTGATATCCAACATTCAGCATGGAAAAACACACCAGAAATTAAAAGGAAGCTGGAAGGAAATAACTGTCCTAAAGAAATTCTGGAATTATTATCGGAAAAAAGAAAACCAAGGAAAAAAACTTACTAATGAGTCTAGTACAGAATATTCGCTATGGAAAACTACCAAAAACCTGAAAAGACCAATCATGCATGCACCCCCAATCAAAAATGCAGACGGGAGCTGGGCTAAAAACAATGAGCAAAAAGCCAGAAGATTTGCAGAACACCTTGAGGAAATATTTCAACCTAATACAGTGGATAACGCAGAAACATTGCCTTCTATTACACAGCAGGAAGAAGGAGAAATCCCGTTTGTTACTCTGACTGAAGTAATTAAAGAAATAGAAACTAATATCAATCCGAAAAAAGCTCCTTGATTCGACTTAATCACAGGACAGATCCTCAAAGAATTACCGAAAAAGGCATTGATTAAGCTCACCAACCTGATCAATGCCTCATTTCGACTTCAGTGCGGCCCACAGTTATGGAAGGTGGCAGAAGTTCTCATGATTCCAAAATCTCGAAAACCACCCCATGAAGCAATGTCAGATCGTCCAATATCACTACTACCAGTGATGTCCAAGCTATTTGAAAAACTTCTATTGAAAAGACCAAAACCAATAATTGAAGCTCTACAGATTATCCCTGATCATCAGCTCGGTTTCAGGAATCAACACTGTACAATTGATCAAGTCCATAGAATTGTCAATACTATAGAAAATTCGCTAGAAGAGAAGAAAGTTTGCTCAGGTATATTCCTGGATATTGAAATCTTACGTAACTGAGAGGTACTTCAGAGTCAGACAAGACWATGCTTACTSTRAYYTMARAGWMATTGAMKCAGGGGTYRSACAGGTCAGTGTATTGGGACCAATACTTTATCTACTATACACTCTCTAYAACTCTGATGATGTCAGCGTGAGTGGGGTTGAAGAAGAATTACGTCAAGCTACTGTTGCTGATCAAAATGTTGTTGCTACATTCGCCGATGATACTGCAATCCTAACGATAGGCGACAGGAATATGCAATCTACTGAAAAACTCCAAGCAGCTATAGATGAGGTTCAACGTTGGACCCTGAAATGGCGCATTAAATTATATGAAAATAAATCGGTCTATATCGACTTCACCAATAAAAGAATATACTACAAATCAGTATATATTAATGACTAAGTATGGGAATACAGCTAAATATCTAGGCATAACCCTCGATACAAAACTCAGATCAAAACCACACGTCAAGAAGAAACAGGAAGAACTGAATTTGAAGTACAGAAATATGTACTGGCTATTGGGTAGAAACTCAGCTCTCACAGTGTATAACAAGCTATTTGTTATATAATCAAGTCCTCAAGCCAGTGTGGACTTATGGTGTGCAATTTTGGGGCTGTACCAAACAGAGCAATAGAAACATCATCCAGAGCTTCCAGAATAGAGTACTTTGTAGTATCGTTGATGCACCATGGTATAGAAGAAATGAAAATCTACATAAAGACTTGGGTGTAGAAACAGTAGATAACGTCATCAAAAAGTATGCAAAGAATCATGAACAGCGACTCCATCAGCATGTGAATCCTGAGGCACTCAAGCTCCTGGATAATTCGGAAATACAGAGAAGACGCAAAAGAACTAAACCATTCGAACTGGTTTAGAAGGCGAGAATTTGTGACCGAGTACATGTCAAACCGATGTATTACAAACAAAGTGACTATCAGAGGATGTGTGTTCATTGTGTTTTTAATGTAGTAGATTAAGTTAAAGGCTTATTAGTATACTGTACTAGATTGCTATAACAATAAAAACAACTTAACTCAAAAAAATCACTGATTTTGAATCTGAAGATTAACCATATTTATAAAATATGTTGTGGGCGAGTAGAAGCCATCCAGTATTCTTTATATCATGGTAAAATAGACGAAAAAACACTCAATATTAGTGCACAATCTAAAACCACAGAATTACTTTTAATTTCTGATACTGCAGATTTGCCATAAGGAATAGGTAGATTTTGACTTAAATGCAAAACGATGAAAACGCGAGGCTGTTCTCGGCCCATTTAAAATATTGTTTTTACGCCGTATTAAAATTGTAGAAGAAGTAAGTGTTGAAGTCTTGAAAATAAAATATTGTTGGGTTCACTTCCCAATCAAAAAGCGCTGTAGAGAAGAACAACATAAAATACAAATGATGTTTAAAGATGCCAGTGGCTTGATCTGAATATGTAATGGACAAGGCACATGTATGGCATATTTATTATTTTAGATTTTATTGTCGATTTCCTCCCTCGTATAAAGTTCTCCGGTTTACATCACTGCAGTACATCGATTAAAGTGAAACGAGAGACAATAACTTATTATGACGATTTTATCATTTTTAAATAATACCCTAATTTTGCTCCAACTGTAAATATACATTAGAATTTGATTTCATTTTTTTAAATTAAAGGCGATATCGAGCAATGTTCCGCCAACATACTCTCAGCTAATTCAGTCAGATTTCGGGTGTTTCATTCTTTCTTGAAATTGGGGCCAATTGGAGAGTGTGCCATGTCCGACTCAAATATTCATCGATCACACAAGTTTGGTTTTTCACATCAATATAGAAAAAACGATTTCCAAACTCACCTTCTAATAATGACCAGTTTTCTAAGCGGCGAAACAACATCGCTCCAGAGCAAATATATGCCAGGACGATCACTAAGCATATGGTGACAGGAACACGAACATTGTTTGAGCATGGGCACTGTTGTTGCGGCTTCTGGGAGGCAATTTTGCTATAAAATATATGTGTTTATCATTATAAGCGTGCAGCCAGYCATACATAATAGCAGAACTCTATTATATAGTCCTCTAGAGATTATTCGGGCAAATAAAAACACGAATGCAAATTACAAAGTGAGTACTCKTTGTTTAAACAATTTCAACTGATTTAGGAAAATATTTCTTAATTAAATAGTAACACAGGTAGGATTTCGGTTCCCTGTTCTTTCTATTGGCGTAAATTTAATTTTTGACTTTATTCAGCGCACCTGTTCGAACAACTTTTAACAAGTTTATGCTAAACTGAAAAGAAGACAGGTGACCTGTTTTAATAAATAGGCCTTTACTAAATAGGAAATTATTGTTCACCCTGTCTGAAACCCTATGAATTTAAATGCGTAAAATAAATWTACAGTGACATATGAAAATCATGCATGGAAAATTAMATTTTAAGCAAAATGTGTCTAATGCAAGTTGGAAACGCTTCGTTTAAAATCWATCAAGTATTAAAAATTTGAGAAGAGAAGTAGGCAGGGCATGTCTAGTTACAACAATGTTATTCTGCAGGAAAAAAATGTTCAAAAAACCCACGAAATCATCCCAGCAGTGTCCGTAAGTGTAAAGTTTGTATCGAAAAATGACAGCAATTTTGAGCAGTATTTATGGATTATTTAGTGCAAAAGTTGTGATTCCATATCGCTAGCCGAATTTGGTTGAAATATTAACTATCATTTCTAATATCCTGTAGATCCTAAACAAAGCGGTTCAATATTTAAGTTTTTTGCTTAAGGCTATACGCCTTAAGATAAGATTTAAATATCTTAATGCATGTTTTTCGTTAATTTTCCTGTTACCTTAGTAGTTTCAGTTTATTGGTAAATCACTAAAAATGAAGAAAATGTGACAAATTTTTGCCTTTATGGACATTTTATAAATTTCTCTAGTAGTCTGCAGTTTCAATTAATATCAGAAATATTCTGGGAAGCACTGAAGCTTGGTTCAATTTCAGGCACACATTTGCCAAGAATCCATTAAGCTCGTATTGATTTACTTGCTAATTTCATTTAGGCAGAAAACTCTGATTGTTTTACCGAAATTTTAGTTCCTTCTGAGATGATAAGAGTCGGATACTTTTTGATTTTTTAAAATTTAATTTGTTTTTATTAGCATTTTTATCTCATCTTAACAACACAAAATATTGTCTCCCAAAATCAATTTTATCATAACTTCAATTTAAAAATAAACAAACATGTGACATCACGCTCAGTGATAATGAAATCAAAATAGTACGTTTGTTGAATATTATTTATTTACTGAGAGTTTTCACATACTAAAGGAGTGTTGATTTCTTAAATTCGTACTAATGTGGGACGGGTTTTAATAATTCTGAATCGCGACTATAATTATCAACATTTTTTGAACGATTCCAGACAGTGAAAAGTTGGCTTTATATTAGAGGCTGAACTTGAAACAACCGTATTACAAAATCCACCTAACTAACCTGGCATTAAAGCATACAAAAATGTATTGTATCATTTTTAACGCATTAATCAATTATTTCTTTTGATATATTGACCAGCATAAAATCGACAGCTAAGATTTAAATGAAATTTTATTTTGTACCTGCCACATATTTTTCCATACAACCTTCGAAAACTTCTGGCTAGAACATCTCCTGTTGTGGATAAATAAAGTAGCATCAATGGAATTCCTATCAAAGCATAAATTATGGTAACCAATTTACCCCATGGTGTTCTGGGCGCTACTGAACCATAACCTGGAACAACATTTTTAGTTACATTAATATCGCCATGAAAGCATTTCGTATCTAAGAAACAATGTGAATGAACTGAAAACCAATGTCTTATTTCTCTAGCTAATTTTGGATCATGCATATCACCAGCAGCATAATCGTACAGATATACAAGATGTACTAATTTTTGAACAAAGAACCATATCAAAAGAGATAATTACTATCGATCAATCAGCATTATTAAAGTTCCAATGGCTGGCACAGAAAAGGATCTAGAATTTTTCTTTCCTATTATTTTATATGCATTTGTGCAGTAGTGTTTGAAAACTACCAGGAACGTGTTTGTATAGTGTTCTATTGGTTGCAAATTAGTTGAGAAAAGTTCCGTGCTTGTTTAATGCTATAATTATAATTAAGTTACAAATTAACATCCAATTGTTCTCTTTTTCGTTTTCGGAGCACTGCGCTAATTTTGCATTCATCTGATATGAATTAATGGCAACCGTTTGGTGGTAGCGTTGAACGCCACTTCCAACATTTTTTCGAAAAACATCCATGACGGTGTGTATTTGAATCTTACTCTCTCGGGAGGAAACAGTAGCAGACAGCGCTTACGTTTTCGCCAGCTTGGTGAGCTGAAAATTTGCTTTTTGTGTCTAATTCAAAGTTGCATTTCTTGCAATTTATCAAAGTTCAAATACTTTATAAATATTTCCAAAAAAGATGCAGAAATCCTGGACTGATTTCAAGAATTTAACAACAGCACACAACGTATCCAACGAGAAAATACCCAAAATCTGCTGATGTGGTTTTGACCACGGTTTAAGGCAACATGCAAGTAAATTATTGTTTATGAACAATTGAACTCTTATGGTCGTCCACGACTTATAAACACGGAAAACTTTATAACAGATCCCACCCCGTTTTAACCTGTTTACCATTACACAGACACATTGCAACAAATTATTCATAAGCTGCAAATTTTATTAATTTCTAATGTTATTTCAAAATATTAGTTAACCGGTAAAGATAAAGGTACAGAGAAAATAATTTTTAATTAGTATTATTATAAAAAGGTACAAAAATTCTAATATTATAAAGTGCGTTGTAAAACTATTGTATCTTTAACCTAAGGGTAATTTATTTAAATTAAAATCCTAATCTATTCTTACAATTCACGTTGATAAGAAAGACGCATTTCGTAGAAACCTCACCGCATAATGTTTCTTAATAAAATAATGTCTTCAGTCAGAAATTTCTTAAGATTGTGTCATGAATGCCAATTTGAATAATCAAAAATTCTAATAAATATTATCAATACCATTAGCATAGAAATAGGAAGAATAATACGTTTCTTGCCGAACAAAATACTGATGTCGTTGTTATCCAGACACTGATGCTAAGAAAAAAACCTTCGCTCCGGTTGTCTTATATTGTATGGAAATAAGGTTAATACGGTTTAATTCCAGTCTGGAAGTTCTGCATTTGTTTTATTAAGTTTTGTGCACTTTCTAATAAAAGATATACCACACTATGTGGTTATCGTACACTGACGCTAAATTTGCTTAATTAAATTTTATTTCGAGCTGGATTTAACTACAAACATGTTTTGCTTCTCAAAAAAACAAAAAATTTAGCTCAAAACTAAGTGCACTGACTGTGTACTGTGACCAACTGTAATGGCAAAAACAAGTAATAAATTGAAACTAAATTCTTCAATAAAGATTTATCTGCTTTACATTCACGATCGTTAATCCATAGACGGCTTTTCAGAAAGACTTTTTAGTTTATTTATTTCATATTCTTTTTTCAACACCACCTACATAAGTTGTGCTTAAAGAAAATTTCACATCCAGATCTTGCGTTAAAAACCAATGTTTTTTAAATGAGGCACAATATAGACATGCAATTAATTATATGTACTGAAATTATATTCTAGCAAAATTTGTACTGTAACTATAATTATGTACTTCAGTTACGAGGTGATATTTATCTCCTTAACAACTAAATATTCTGTTCCCAACTTCTTAAGGGGCGTAAGCACAACTTTATTTAAAAAAGTCTGTTCAGTATTGCAAAGTTTAATACAAGACTAACACCATTAATAGTATTAACACCGATACAGATCATGCATAACAAATATGTTAAACTGAGGAGAAAATCCACAGTAATTTTCCTAATGGAGTTCGTAAAGCCATTTTCCTCATTGGCTGTTAGGGCGACGTGCCTAAAGGCGAAAAAACGGAATTACGATGCCAGTTAGTAACATCCCCTTTCTTGTGTAAAATAAGGGCAATTTAATCACAAGTCAAACTCTTAAATAATAAAGAACCGGATATCCATCAAGCTATGATGTAACAATAGCACTTTGGAAACGTGGCTTAGGTCAGTTTCATATTTCTAGCTTTGTCACGTTTTCATGACAAACGAGATTCTCTATGAAATCGATATTGAAACTGATTAGTGGTGAAATTCATTTGGTTGTTGAGTTTAATTCAAACAGTCCGATCGAATGTCTTTACTTAATATGAAAATAGTTTACGAGTATCGTATATTTAAATTTTCAGTCCAACTGTGGTGTTCGTCTCGTTTTAAAATTATGCACTGTTATTTTCTTAAGTGATACCGTAGTTCTTATATACATGCGTTTTTACTACTAATATCAGATTTATGTTTTATATTTTTACACTGTTGATGTCATTTTAATTCACGCCGATTTTTTTCGCAATAATAGTTGAGCAGATTTTAAAATAATTTGAAACTCAGAATTCCATTTTTCGTTTGATTCCACAATTCGTTTGACTTACTTCATGAATAAATTGTTGACAATCAGTGTCCATTATCAAGTTGGACATTATAGTTTTAATGATAAAAACAACCTGAGCACCATATTAAATCAATACTTAACTTCCATTGGTATTTTTTAGATGTTTTCGATTCCTTTATGTCACTTAAAGTGTGCAATTTGTATTGAATTATCAAAGTATGCGTCAGAGTGAAAAACATGTTACAAGTGGATACTTTCGATGGATTAATAGTATGAGTATGACATAAACGCGTTTGAACTCGCATGCTACAATATTTTCTTAGAATTAGTAGGGGTGTAAATATACAAAAAAGTTCGAACTACTCACGTACGTTTTGTAGGTTTTTAAATATCAAGTGTGAATCCGCGAAATGCGAATAAATTCATAAAATGGGGTAAAACATCAAAATGTACATTCCCATGTTTCGCGATATGCATACAGTGACTCATATGAAAATGGAAATATTTGAGGATACATCTAAATCACATTTCACTGATATTTTAGAGTTTTACCTTCTTCAAAGTTCATGCTATTTTTATGAAGACTTATTACGATTTGGGGGATTTTTGGTCAGATTTTCATGCTAGTTAGATAAACTGCATCACGTTTTGAGCGCAATAATGATATTGTTTGATAGTTATTGCCATATACAGAAGCAGTTTTCACAAATGTTCACATGCGCTCTTAAATTTCACAGGCAGTGTAACCAAAACCAGGAAAGTAATAAACTTTGCATCTAAATTATCTGCTTCAATCACTTAAGGAGTTGCAAAATAAAATAGAAACATTTTTGCTTACTCAAATTGACAGGAAATTGTGCCTTCCAGCAGCTTTGTACCAGTAATCAGTTCGCAATTTGTAAAAGTTAGTTTTCCCATAAAGGATTTGTAGTCGATTAATGTCTCGGAGATAAGCAACTTTAGCTATTGCGAAAAGTTGGCAAAGCTATACGCCATCTATTTACGAAGGAAAGTGTTCAAGTTGCTATTACTGAAATAGAGTAACGTTAATCACATTAATTTCACTAAGCTATTTTAGTTTCATTGTGAGCTTTTTGCAAGTTCATGTGTACAATTGCACTATTTGTATAGAGTTTTCGAACGATCTTGGAGGTTATAAGATCATAAGGATTATATAATTTAAGTGCAAAGCTCTAACAGTTATTTTACAAATAGTGCTTGATTAACGAGAGCTGGTTAATCAAGCAAAGTTTAGCTGTTCAATTTAGTTTATTTAAATGCGAAATGTGACTTTGAGAAAAAAKGTAAATTAATATTCAGATGCGTTGTCTCTTTAGCAGTTTTAAGTTATGTGTTTTCAATATTACAGAATATAATAATATTTGCTTTTGGATTTGAAACTGAATAATTTAAAGCGACCCATATTTTTATATATATATATATATACAAATAGGTGTTATAAGGTCCTCTCCATCCAGGCCCCTAATTCTCATTTCGCTGTCTATTCAATGTCTCCAGCTCCTTGCTACTCTTCTTCGTCACTTTCTTCGCCTATTTGGATGCCGTTGTAGTATTTGTGTAGGTTTCGTTTCCCATTTTATGCGCATGCCCGTACCAGTACATAAGGCGTATAAAATGATTTCATTTAATGAATTTCCCATGTTTTGACATTTTCTTTTTCATACTTTAAGGACTTTTTCGAAATAAATCTTGAAGAGCGTTGGCGAAATACAGCAACGTTTGTAATACCTTTACTCGCTTGAAACCCTTTTGTTAGCCTTTGTTTTATTTCGACTTTTGCTTCATTATTCTTGAACTCTTTAATTGCTTTAATTAACTGAACACGAATGTTTCCAAGGCATTCCAAAGTAAATTAAGTGGTATGCTGTCGTATGCTTTTTGTCAGTCTACATATAGCAAATGCAACTCTTGTCCATATACCATTTTCTTTTCGATAACTTGGGTTATACGGAACAGATGATCTACCGTCGATCTACCTACCTTAAATCCGGCCTGTTCTTCTACCTCCATGGCTTTGTACTCATTTTCCATTTTATTTCTTATTATTTTGCTATAGATTCTGCTACTAGTTACAGATGTGTCTCTGTAATTGCCGCACATATTTTTCCTTCCTTTCTTGTGAATTATGGATATATATGATTGTATGGTGGAATTCCAAACGTTTCGGACTTTGGTTCCGTTTATATATTTTTGGAAAATATTTCGTAGTCTTACAAACAGTTTATCAGTATCGTAT